GAATCGCTTCGCTGGTGTGCGCCGCTGCGAGATGGCCTCGGTCCGAATGCGGTCGTCGGTCGGTCGGTCGGTTGGTTGGTAGATGGTGGTGGTGGTGGCTTCGTCCTTGACAGAGTCAGTCACTCACTCCCGGACAGACACACACACAGGCCCGAGTGGAGGTGTGTGCGTCCATTGATTGACTGTGTGTCACGAAAAGTGTTCATCGGAGGCGGCCGACGGCCTCGTTGGGCTGGGGGTGTCTGTTCGAGCATTGGTCCATCCACGTCCCATTCTTCCATCTGCGTCAGCAGTTCAGCCGTTCATCCACTTGCTTACACCTTCTCGCTCGTTCGCCGCAGCCATCGCCGCCACTCTTCACCACCCGAGACGCACTTCGTCGTCACCGCCTCCTTCTCCTCCTCCCCTCGCCACTGCAGTGTCTTCAATCAGCTTCGCTCGGAGGGCTCCTTCGCTTCGCGATATCACCTTCGCGGCTCAACAACTGTTACCCGGCGGCCTCTTCGATTGATCCTCAGCCTCGCGCTTCACGATCTCAGACGCGGTAGCTTGGTGTAAGTTGTTGAGTCATTTCTATGATGATTCAGCCTGGCTGGCCCTCATTCCTCTCTGGAAGGTCTCGCTCCATTCCTGAAGGTTTTATCTCTAACCTTCTTTCTCTTCTTATCTCCTCTGTTATCTGACCCTTCTGTGGAGGTCACATAGTTCTTCTCCTTTAGGAAGTTTTTCGCCGCAATGCAACCGTCAGCAGCGCTTCAAGGTTGAACTGGGAACTGCCACCGTCCCGGTCGGGCTGAACCGTCGTCGTAGCGTTTGCCATATGGCCATCGTTGTGCCGCGCGTCTCTGTGTCTCTGCAAACGATTTCCGGCCGCCAGAGGTCATCGTCATTGATTCAGAAGAGTGATGTCGGCCTCCCGTCCAAGGCTGTCCGACTGAAGAGCGAAGAGCAGGCTGCCGACGTTGCTGACCAGATCTACGGTGCAGAACATCGGGTGAAGTATGACGACGACAACAAGGTCGATGCAGTCCTACTGGCAAAATAAGTGCTCCAGAACTTTAGGAACACTTTATGAAGATATTTGTGCAATTCGTGTTCCAATTCCTCAAATGAAATCGTGTGCCTTATCGTATTTGAGCTATCGCTCTAGGACCGATTGTTTTACGAGCTTTTGCGGACAGAGTCAAATCAAGACCACACGCAGCACTTTTCGGAACGCATTAAAACGGCGTAACAAATGAATCATATCAATGATCGTTTCTGATAACCTCTTTATGCCATCTGATGATTCCTCCGTTTCTTGTTCAGGATGCCTGTCTTGCTATTGTTTTCCAAGTCATTGGTTCAAAAACGGCATCCTGAGCTGCGCCAAGCGCTGGCTCTCAAAATCGCCCATCCCGCGAAGAGCGTCCTGTGAATGATCTTCACGCTGCCAGTCGTTACGCTAGTTTTGTAGCTTAAATTCCTCGTCTTCAGCTTCATGTGGACTTATGGGTAATAGTGAGATAACCTACCTTAACATTGGCCATAAGGATTTTTACTGCGTCGTACTGCAGTCGAGGAGTTCCACGCCAAGGTCGCAGAACTCGTCGAATTGAGCATGGTCACCGCGAGACTTTCCCTTGCGACTTTTGTCAAAATATTGTGTAGTCGTGTTGTTTGTTTATCGCTGTTTTCATCTGTAAATTTGAAAACGTTCGCTCTACAATCTTTAATTTTCCGCCTTCATGTTCTTTCAGCTCTCCTTTCTCCGCTTCTATGGTTATGTACTGTACATCGTTGAGTTGCGGACGGTTGGGTAATATTATCACCAATAGTCCACTGTTTCATCCATCAGTACCATATACCCATCAGCTGCGCTTATGGAACTTATACAGAACCTAGCTTTCAATGTAAACATCCGTAAGCTCGCGCAGTGCGCTTACGGGGGAGGCCAGTCTGTCAGTTTGTAGGAAGACCACAAGGAGTAAGCTTAACTGAGAGGGACGAATGCCCTGTCAATTAATCTAGTCCTAAAGCTCTTTGCTACAACCTTGCTAGAAGAGCCTGATGGCGTTTTATAATATCCTTATGATATCTCTTTCAATCTCTGCGCCGTGAATCCTCAACTGTATTTCTGCTAACCCCTCCTTCATCATTTGTGAGTTCTGAGTGCATCCGTGGAGCCGTCGAATGGAAACTCTCTGATTTATCTCTATCTAAATTCTCCATCCCTAGTTTTTTTCTGACAACCACGGGAGCCGCGTTCTCCTGACAATGCCGTTAAATATATTCCATATCTCGTGATTATGCGTGTTTATGACTTTAACGTGGCGGTCGCCGCACTTGATAGAAGTTGCGCTGCTTCCAGCATGCTTTGCTGATATCCAGCGGAGTATGTTAGAAACAGCTTATCCACACGGCTTCTATCAAGTGCGACGACGGCCACGTCAAATCCATAGACACGCCTAATCTGACTTCGAGGTATGGACTCCAATCGTAGGAATCTGTTTTCGCAATGTGTTTTCCCCGATTTCGTAGAGATGACCGCCGAACTCGCTGATCTTCGGCCTTAGGTCAGCTAGCAGCAGTCATATTCACAGGTCAGGTGAGGTCTCTCTCGTCGTCGCCGCGGTGACGGGGCTATGTTTGCTCTGTATCGACTCCGTATGTCGTGAGTCTTGTCGAGCAGAAGTGCGCAGTGGTGTGGTTTTTCTTCGGCCACGACGTCGACCTCGTCTCTCGTCGCTTAGTCGTACTGGGGTAGGCGCTGTTCGGGACAAGCGCACCTGCCTCCTCAGAGATGTCAGGTCATCGCTCTGACCTTCATAATTGACGCGCCCTTCGACGCTGATGAAACCTCATAAGTCTCCGTGCCCTTTTGAAGGGCTTCCTAATTTCTGCTGCACCACATACACCTTTTTAAAAACCTTGCTAAGCTGATTTTCATCAATTCTTTCTTCGGTGTAGTGAACTCGGCATTGATCTTAGAGAGAGAACAGCCTTCCGTGAGTAAAGGAGGAACACATGTTTTGAAGTGACCTGTCAAGGAAACTCCTCCAAAACCCATCGTTGTCGTCGTCGTTGTCTCCGTGTCGTCGTTGAGTCGACGTCGTTGGTAGACGGTCGTGATGTGACTGGGAACTAGTTTTGTATCGTCGTCGTCGTCTGCGCTGACGTTTCTACCGTCGAACTATTCAACAGCATCACCGCCCGCTCACTATAACACTGGTGACAGTTCAAGTCCTCCAGTAAATTCCAGGAACCTCCTAGGAGTGAGTGGGTGCACAGTAGCTCATCGTCGTCGTCATCGTTCGGCGCGGAAGAAGGTAACACGAAGACCGGTTATCGTCCGTCCACTTGTTGAGTGCTATTCAGTCATCATCTTCTTCATCTTGCTGTCGTTCCTCGGGTGTTTGCTCTACCTATGCAAAGTTCCACCATAGAAGCAATTGGAACCACTGCTTTGAGCTCCACTAATGGTCTTTCATCATCACATTATCGCATCACTCTGTCTTCAGACAAGGGATTCACTGCGTAGATGATAAATACAAGAGGAAAACAACATTTTTATTCTGCTCAATGATACAGTTATATAATGGACATATAAGCTCTTTCGTTTGTTCTTCTTTCCAAGGAGTTATGTGACAAGTTTGTTGGTGATCTTCGTGATCAATGACGAACAGCTTTGTCAAAGAAGATTAGTCATTGCATTCGAAAGAAAACGTAATTCTTGTTGTTCCTTGTTAATATTTCATCTTTTTCTTCGAAGCTGCTCGATGGGATTTCCCAGAGATCCTCTTTCGCTTCCTTCCCTTCAATAACCTGTTTATTTCCTTTTGTTGCGATCTTATTAAAAATTTCATGCTTGGAATGCTTTCTTTTTGATCCTTGTAAATATGAATTCTCCATTTTCCTGGTAAGGGTTTCTGTTTGGACACGCTGATGATTTTTTCTACATGAGCCCTGTTTCTTAGCTGTAAATTTTCGTTTTGATGATCTTCTCTCAAATATCTAATACAAAAGCCTAAATTCTTGCTATATACGTTAAACGTCTTTACGGTTTGTTTCATCTTTGGTTCCTATCTGTTCCACTGTTTTGTTGATGTGAAGTCTAATCCTCGTGACATGATGATCGACGATGATCTCTTGCTCGGCAAATTCACCAGTCATCTCCATTCGTTTTCAGTTTTGTGAATGCGTTGAATGCATCCGCCTTCGTCACCGTCGTCTATGCAAGAAGTGGTATCGTCGACGTCAGGACAACAGCAACAACTCCAGAATCAGCATTCGCTCATGCAACGTCTTTTGATGGGTGGTGGCAGTACGACAGCACAACCGTCGAGTGCAGCACGGAACGGTATCGAAGATATCGCTGCAAGGCTCCACAAACAAAATGGCAACGCTGCTGCATCGACTAACTCCACCGGGAACGGTTATTTCTCGGTGCGTTCATTTCCGTTATTTTCACATGTTATTTTTCCGAATATGCTTTCACACCTTAGGACTACCACCTATGGGGTTCATTTGAAAATATGTAGATGTTTATGTATTTGCAACGTTTATTGATCCCAAAGTACCCGCGGAACCCTTAGTTTTGCCACTTTCCCGCTTTCCAAATATTTGAACCTGTGTTTCCAATGAACGAGGTTACCAAATTCTTTATATTTTTGCTAAAGGTGTCCAAGAAGTTTTGAGAATATCCTAATTCGGTGTATATTTAAATTGATTCAAAATTGATAAATTAGCCTTTCTTCATCAATAGGGGAGTAGATGGGTCTCTTAGAAAAAGATGTATGATATCAAAGGCTCCTTGA